CGCACCGGGTGAGAATAGCCACAAGACTCCCCTGCACTATTCTCACTCCGGGTGAGAATAGAGGTGGCCAACTGCAAAACATCAAATTATGGTAAAACCTGAAAACCCTCACCTTATTTTTATTTTTATCAAGATAGGGGGCAAGCCCCCCTGAAATTGAAACCTCCCTACTTTTGGGGCCAAAACCCGCGAATAACAATTGCGCGGTGTGAACTACTGAAAAAGCAACGGTCCGGCTTGGTCGAGAAGTAGTTCTAGATCTAGATTTCTAGATTCTACTTCAAGTTGCCGTAATTTGGCTAGATCTAGATTCTAGTAGTGCGAGTTCATGTCATCTCTGTAGTCACAGATCGAGTGGGGGAAGATTGAAGAATACCGGACCACTCGTACATTATTGCACGAGAAAGTGGGGTAGGTGGGGGCGGGTGGTTGGGATGGAGGAGCGGGGGGTTCAGGGGAGTCTCCCCCCTGACAAAATTTAAATGAATAGGTCTACCGGTCCGAGATTCTCCATTGAGAGATATTAAAAACGGGAAAATTATGATTTCGTAAGGTTGAGACATAGGCAAAGTCAGTCCGCTGGTCCGGTATTCTTCAATCTTACCATCGAGTGGTCTGTAATTATAATTTATGTCATAAAATTACAGTCGAACCTCTGTAAGACAAAACGAAGACAGAAAGCCATGTCAAGGAGAAAAGTGCACTTGATGGCCATCTTAGTCTAAGACTGGTGGCGGGGAGGAATTCCGTAGCCTCTAATGAGCGACCACTAAATCTAGATATCTAGATCTATACAGTGTAGAATAGAGGGTTGGGGTTAGGTAAGGATTTGGGGTAGGGGTAGAGGTTGGGGTAGGGTTAGGGATAGGTCTCATCTTTATTGTAGAGATCTATTTGTTGAGGTGGTTGCTCGTTATGGAGGAAGTCCTTTCTTGGTGGCCATCATTCTCATAGGATATCATGGAAGGACTTCCGTTAAAAAATCGACCATCCCAACAAACACGATAAAGAAGAGACATTATAACTAAGGTACCCTATCCCATACCTAAACCCTACCCCAAACCCTACACTACCCCTACCCCTCTGCTGGGTCACTTTCAACCGACCTGATTTTGGCAGTCATTTTCTCACTAATTTTACCTCAGACACCAGGCAGCCCACACATCCTCCAATCGCGAATATCTCAAAATTGAGGTTGTCTTTTTTTTTATCAATCGCAAGCAAGGCAAATGAACAAGAAGTTTAATTTAACAAGCTTTAAGGTGATACCAATAACTCCATAAAATTGAGGAGCTCCTTATTGCACCACGTCATGACACATTAACATTCAGTTGAAAAGTTAAGCCTGCCAAGATGAACATAATACAGACACCTGCACAAACAGACATTTTCCATTCCCCTCCTTGCGCATAAAAAAGCCACAAAATTTTACCAAGTCAACCTATCCGAAGATTGCCATTTGAATTCTAAAAATGTGCGTAATTCGAGGAAAAGTACAGGATATTACATTTAATTTATGGAATCACTGTCAAATTAAATGACACTTTATAAACCCCCCCCCCAGAAAAATAACACATCTGAGCAATAGCAATGAAAAAAATTGACTCCCCAATAAATTAAAACACAACAAAGAGGGGAAAATAAAAGAGTAACAGCAATATATTTATAATATAGGCCTATGTATATATATAGATAAAATATAGTATGTAATGTACTTATATTCTTCACGTGAAAAAAACCCCAAATCAACATGGTATCAACAAGTGAGAAAGAGACGGAAGTGAAGCTGAAGTGAAAATAAACTTTCTATCTCTCTAAAAGTAGAGAGGTTCAGTTTCTTTTATTTTCTTTTTTTTTTTTGTCGATTTTTATTCCCCGTATTTTGTTTGATTTTTTATTCCCCAATGGTGGAGTGTTTTTATTTATGAAAACAACATTTTTTTGGGTAAAAAATAATAATAATATAATATATAACATTTATAGAGCGCATTTCCAAAAAAAGTAGCTCAATGCGGTTGTGGACCGAAATATATGCAAAAAATCGCAGCGGTGACAAATGCAGATGTTAGATTATCAGTAGGTAAAAAGACTGTATTTGTTCATAATTTCCAACCTGAAGAAATAAAATAATCTGGTACTTTTTAAATAATAATTAAATAGACAGTAGTGTGATTTTAGTTCATTGAAGCAAGTTAGAAATATATAGAATTATGCATGTTTTTTTATATATATATACTTTTGTTCTTTCATTGATTTACCAGGAATGTTAATGATTTTACGCAGTTTCTTATACATGTGCTTTATACTTTCACTCCTAAGAACGATGCCTCATGTGCGTTTGAAGACTTCTCTTCGTGCTGATGTTCATCTCGCACCTTGCATGAACAAGAAATGCAAACGCAAGCTTCAGAGACTTGTTGCAGGGCTTAAAGCCAATAATTTGACATGTGTGTCTAGGACTGAATATCCTGATTGTAAGATGATTTTTCCCCATACATGATATATTGTTATTAGATAGTTTAAAGTCAAAATTAAGAAAAGTATATATTATGTGTCTAAACCTAGTAAAAAGGAAATTTATTATGTGTACAGTCGGAGCTTTTTAAAAATATGATTGGCTCATTTTTTGCACTTTAAAAAAAAACGAGCACCCTATTACAACGCAAATTAAAATATACAGTCAAACCTTGTTATGTACCACCTACCTTGGGACGAGCATGCAGTTGGCTGTACAGCGGGGCTGGCGGTACAGCAAGGTTTTCATGTCCGGTGTTAAATACATGTAGCACCGACTGCCCAACGTCAAGGGAACTTGTCAATGACTAGATGAAGCAATGAGTTGTCTCTCTTCGATCTATCACTTGGACTTGAGCATGAATCCTCAGTAAATAAAAGCCCCTCGGGCATTCGCCAGCCTGTAAGTTATTTCGGGCTGCCAGATATTTGCCAGGGGGGGCCGAGATGGCGGGGTTCCTTTACATTTTTTTCAGGGGGACATACAAATTTAATTCCATAAAAAAATATTGACCGAGGCATTTTCATAATCAGCACCTCACGCAGGGAGCGAAATTTGATGCTGAACTACAAAGTTATTTTTTATTTTAATTGTACTCTTCTACAGTATTCATGTTGTATTGTGTTCGCTTTCGACACACTTCATCATTGTAGATCTATCCTATATTGCCTGAAGTCTACAAGACAATGGTGGGGAGGTGGGATGCACAGGGAGGGAGCAAGTCTGCAAAAAGTGTTTGATTTAGAGCTAGGCCTAGCTTGTAGAGACTTGTGTGTGAAAAATTGTCAAGCAACCACTGAGTGGATGTTCCGTGTGTAGCCTAGTGTGTACTGTGAACTTCTGACGGCCAGTTTGCTGGCAGTACAACAGGGTAAATTTACAATAGTTTGATAAAGACCGTACAACTGTGGTGGATGGCAGTGTAAAGACACAATATAGGGGATTCTTTTCGTGCTTCGGCAAAACCTGGCGGTAAGTGAGGCTGGTGGTACAACGGGGGGTGGGTGGTACAGCGAAGTTTGACTGTACATTTGTTTTACTCTGTGTCAATGTGAACTCTTGGGAAAGTTATTTTTCTTATTTGTATTTAGACTTACTTCTTGAAGTTTCATCCTGTCCACTTGCAGAAAATGATGGCTGCATAATGATAATCATACACCCTTGTGTTGAATGAAAAAGTGTTAATAATGAATAGTAATATATGTATTGTTCTAAATTTGCATATATGCATAATTTTCATTTAAAAATTTGCGTCATAAAGAAATTGTGTTATCATTGTGCCCGATATCTTACTTGAGAAGTTTCTTTTTGAAGCAATTAAGGTTGATTTCTACAGAGTTAACGAATAACACTTCACTCTTTTTGCAGGTGGCAAGTATCTTACATGGTTTGAGCAAGCGTTTAAAAAATGTACCTTCACAATAATCCATCGATGCCCTGATTTGTGGGGAAAAGTAAGTACATTCTTTGGACTGTGAAATGAGCAATTTTCACATAGTTGTTGCTTTGTATGTTTCGTTGAAGAAACCATTCCCTCAATAAAGAATCCCAAATAAACCGGGTTCTTGTTCAAAGAATGAGGTGTTTTAAAACTTGTATGATAGTATGTGAATTTCGATACATTTTTAAACTTGGAATTGAAATGTATGAACACAATAAAGTTACAATGTTAAATATGAATTGAATAGGCTTCAACTGTAAGACTGCTGTTTTAACTCGACCTTGCTATTTGGCTGAGGTTGAAAGGTTTTTTAGGTAAGGTAAAATTTGTATGTATTTAATTTTGGCCTTGACTTGTGTAGTAAGAATTCAATACTAATTTTGAATGGCTCTTTCAGCTTTTTGCGATTTATTAAATTTTTTAGTGCTCTGAATATTTTAATGATACAGCTGTGCCATGAGTGTTAAAGGTCCAGTGCAAGTTTGATACTGTGTCTCTGGTTTGAGAGTTTTTAGCGTATTAGATTGAGCGAAATGTTACAGTATGTGAATGAGGACAAAATATCCAGACTTTTCAACAAATTTTAACAATTGAAACCAAATGATGACAAGACGGAAATAATGTTGAGTAGAAATACGAAAGCCATTAAAAATCTCCCAGAGCTACAAATTGATATTAATAACCATACAATTCGTTCAAAAAGAATCTTAAAAATCTAGGGGTTCAGTTGGATTATGATATGTCTATGTCCTCCCAAATTAGCCAGCTCAGCAAAAATATTTACTTTCAGCTTAAGAAAATAGGCAGTGTACGAAATTATTTAACTAAAGCAG